AAAAAAAAAAAAAAAAAAAAAAAAATTAGCCAGGCGTGGTAGTACGCACCCGTAGTTCCAGCTACTTGGAAAGCTGAGGCAGAAGTAGAATGGTAGCTGCCAGGGAAGGAAAAATGGGAAGTTATTTAAAGGGTACAGGATTTCAGATTTGCAAGATGAAAAAGTTCTGGAGAGAGATTGTACAACGATGTGAATTTATTTAACACACTAATATGCACACTGAAGAATGATTAAGATGGCAAATGTTATGTCATGTGTATTTTACCACAATTAGAATGTTATTTTTAAGCCGGGCTCGGTGGCTCAGCCTGTAATCCCGCGCCTTTGGGAGGCTGAGGTGAGTGGATTGCCTGAGCCCACGGGTTTGAGACCCGCCTGGGCAGCGAGACCTCATCTCTACAATAAATCAAAAAATCAGCCGGGCGTGGTAGCGCATGCCTGTAATTCCGGCTACTCGGAAGGCTGAGGCGGAAGGATTGCCGGAGCCCAGCAGGCGAGGCTGCAGTGGCCGGGAGCGGCCACTGCACTCCAGTCTGGGCGACCGAGTGAGACTCCAACTCAAAAAAAAAAAAAAAGTTATTTTTGAAAATTTCTATTAAAAAAGCAAACCAGGCCAGGCTCGGTGGCTCAGCCTATAATCCCAGCACTTTGGGAGGCCGAGGCAAGTGGATTGCCTTAGCCCACAGGTTCAAGACCAGCCTGGGCAACCAGCCCAGGTGGAAGGATCGCCAAAGCCCAGCAGCAGGTCAACGCTGAGTGGCTGTGAATGTGCCACTGCATTCCAGCCTCGGTGATGGAGTGAGATTCCAACTCAAAAAAAAAAAAAAGCAAACAGCCTGGGCTCGGTGGCTCAGCCTGTAATCCCAGCACTTTGGGAGGCCAAGGCAAGTGAACCCCCAAGTTCAAGACCCACCTGCACAACTTGGTGAGACCTCGTCTCTACGATAAATCAAAAATTAGCCAGGTGTGGTAGCATGCGTCTGTAGTTTTGGCTACCTGGAAGGCTGAGGCAGAAGGAGCGCCAGAGCCCAGCAGGTCCAGGCTGCGGTGGCTGGGAGTGTGCCAGTGCATTCCGTCTGGGCAACAGAGTGAGACTCCAACTCAAAAAAAAAGTAAACCAGCAAGTCACCTGAGTGAGCAATCCTTATACCCTTTCACTGCAAGGACCAGAGGAGAACACACAGCTGCAAGGCAAGCATCGAGCACATGGGCGGAAAAAGGCTGTTTCTGTATCCATTGGAAATGCAGAATTTGCCCCTTGGGGCATCCCTCTGGACCTACCTGTCGTTGGAAGCATTGAGTTCCAAGACGGCATCTTTCATTGCTGGGCCCAGCAGGGCTCGTGCCAAGCACAGGATGCTTGTAGTTTTGCCGGTTCCTGGGGGGCCCTAGGAAGGAGATCGCCAAAAGTGCTTCAGTCACAGAATGACCTCCATGTGGCTCCTGCTTTGCTGCTCACCGCTGTCAGCACTCACCTCCCCTGACCACCCGACCCCGCCTTACAGCCCACACCACCAACCCACAGGCCTCCCACCTAACTAGAGTGAAACACTTCCCCGTGGAGGGGAGTGGTACAGGGCTGACGAGGAAGCGCCGTGCCCACGGAAGCACTTAAGCCGGCTATGAGACATCAAGACGCCCAGCAGGACCAGCGCCGAGTACTTACAGCAATGATGATATTGGGTACATTCCCCTCTCTTGAAAAGACCTGGGGGGAAAATGCTCATTCAAACCGATGAATCTGCAGACCCTGGGGCTGACCCTCCCCAGCCACAGGCCACACGTTCTGTACGTGGATGCTCCATGGCGCTCTCACCACAGCATCTTCAAGACTAAACCCATCGCTCTCCCCGACATACTCGGGCCCCACCTGTGCTTCCTCTCCATGGACTGTCCGGCCTGGCCCTGAGTAGCTGTCACCTTGGTCTGGACACCCCCTCCAATAGCACCTCCATCCCAGAGGCTCTGCCGTTCTCTGCCTGCAGAATCCTCCCCTTCTCTCCAGCCCACCACCACGTCAACAGGCCACTAACGGGTCTCCTCTCCTCTCATCTTGCCCCACTCCGATCCATTTCCCGTACCGTGACCGCACCCACTCTCTGCAAGTACACATCTATTACAAAAGTGTTTACCGGCCGGGCTCAGTGGTTCAGCCTATAAACCCAGTACTTTGAGAGGCTGAGGCGAGTGGATTGTCCAAGTCCGCAGGCTCAGGACCAGCCCGGGCAACTTGAAGAGACCTTGTCTACACAATAAAATCAAAAATTAGCCAGGCGCGGCAGCACATGCCTGTAGTTCTGGCTACTTGGAAGGCTAAGGCGGAAGGATCGCCAGTGCCCAGCAGGTCGATGCTGGGGTAGCCATGAGCATGCCACCGCACTCCAGCCTGGGTAACACAGTGAGGCTCCAACTAAAAAAAAAGTTTACCTAGCAGAAACCCTTGGATGACTCCTTCCTGCCCCCATTAGGAAGCCCAAAGTCTTTTGAGACAAGGTCTCCCTGGAGGCTGGAGTGCAGAGGTGGGATCATGGCTCACCGCAGCCTCCAACTCCTGGGCTCAAGAGATCCTCCGGCCGCAGCCTCCTGAGTAGCTGGGACGAAAGGTGTGCACCACCATGTCCAACTTGAAGCCCAGACTCTGAAATGTGGCTCCCAAGGCCTTGCACGATCCAGATCCCACCTCCTCAGCTCACTTTTCACCCCACCCACCCTCATCAGAGTGGGTCCCGTGGGCCAGCAGCACTAGCATCATCTGGGAGCCTGTGAGAAAGCAGATTCTCTGGCCCCACTCCTCAACTGCTGGGTCAGAATTCTGCATTTTAACAAGACCCCCACCACCTCATATGCCCAAGCTCTCTTACCTCTGGGCCTCTGCACACTCGCTGTTCCTGCTGCCTCCCCACCTCCACCCCAAGCCCTCCAAACCTGACTAACTCCCACACATTAAGCTTTGGTGTCAATCCTTCCCCCTGGGGACTAAGACACTGTAAGCAGGTTGACTCTTCCTCCCAGGCACTCCATGGCATGCTAACTTCCTCTTGTAGAGAACATGACCTGCTGGCTTTAATATAGCCTCCATTAGACTGTTAATCTCACATGGGCAGAAATCAGGTGTAGTTTGTTCATATTATATCAACATGTCCTAACACTGTATCTGGCCCATAGAAGACATCCGAATATTTGAATAAATCAGGCCAGGCATGGTGGCTCACACCTGTCCTAGCACTATGGGAGGCCAAGGTGGGAGGATCTCTTAAGGTCAGGAGCTCAAGAGCAGCCTGGTCAGCATAGCAAGATTCTGTCTGTACAAAAAAATTAAAAAATTAACTGGGTGCACACCTGTAGTCTCAGCTACTAGGGAGGTTGAAGCAGGAGAATCACTTGAGCCTAGGAAGTCAAGGTTACAGTGAACGATGATCATGCCACTGCATTCCAGACTGGGTGACACAGCAAGACTCTGTCTCTTAAAAATATAAATCCATCAAAAGGACCTTGGTAGTTATTAGTCTAAGACTCTAAAAATCTAAGACCCACTTACTGTAAAGACTGCCTCTGTCATATCTCAAATAGCAGCTTCCAGACTCAGCCTAAAGACCTTCAGAACTAGAAATTCAAAGTTTGCTTTGCTGCTGAACATTCCTGCTTGCTCCCCTTTGTGTCACCCTGAAGTCGGTTTCCTTGTCACTTAGCCATTTAACTCTTCTAGGCAGGGGTTGGCAAACCAGGGCCAGGGGTGGGGTTGGGGATAGAAAAGAACCCATCCTGAAGTCTGTTTTTGTAAGTCTTCCAGCTAAGAATAGTTTTTACATTAAAAAAAAAACTCTCTTTTTTTTTTGAGTCAGAGTCTCACTCTGTCGTACAGGCTGGAGTGTAGTGGCACACTCACGGCCACCCTAGCGTCGACCTGCTGGGCTCCAGTGATCCTTCTGCCTCAGCCTTCCAAGTAGTCAGAACTACAGGCGTGCGCTACCATGCCCAGTTAACTTTCTGATATCCTGCAGAGATGAGGTCTCACCAAGTTGCCCAGGCTGGTCTCAATGCCCAGGTCTCAGGCAATCCCCTTGCCTCGCCCTCCCAAAGTGGTGGGATTACAGGCTTGAGCCACTACACCTGGCCTAAAAATACCTTTTTTTAAAAATAAAGAATGAATGCTCAACAAAGACCTTCTGTGGTTTGCAAAGCCCAGTCTTTACAGAAAGTCTGAGAACCCCTCTCTGATAAGCCAGCCCTTCAAGAAACTGACGCTATCTACCACAGCTTCTAGTCTTTCCCTAACCAAATGTCTCCCGATCCCTCAACTGTTCTGGATTTGTGGTTCACCTCCCACTCACTATCTTGGGTGCTTCCCTCAGGCTGTCAAAGCCACAATAGGGCATCGATCGTCTTTGAGAAAGTCACTCACCTCCAGTCTGCTCACGGTGTCTTCATTTCCGACAATTTCATTCAGTTTTACTGGCCTATATTTTTCAACCCTGTTTTTGAGAAAATGCAGAAAAATGTTGACACGGCTATTTTGACATTACCCAAAAGAAAGCACTAACAGGCAGTCTGGGCGGGCTCTGTCAGAAGATTATATCCATTCGACAAAAATATGCCAGACAGTTACCAGTTTTAAATTAAGTGCGCAAGTGCCATATGAAAAGTTAAGTGCATGAGAACTGTACAGCAAAGGCTTCAACCTGCCATAGCAGAGAAATGCCTGTTGCTGCTGGAGAAGGGCCAGACAGGCCATCTGGAACAACGTGACCCTGTGCAACACCGTCTGCCCATCGCAACAAAGCCCCAGCACATGCAGCACTGACATCATTTGGTCTGACAGACAGAGATGCAACCAAGCCCCCTTCTCACCTCTTACCTGTCAGTTTCTGCAGACACGTGCCAAGTGCACGGCAGGTCTGGCTAGACAGAAACCACAGGCCTGGCCTGTGATCCTATTAGGCTGTGCAGAGTGAACAGGGCAGTGGCCTATTTGGACCAACAGCCATTTATTTTATTTTTAGAGTCAGGGGCTCACTCTGTCACTCAGGTTGGAGTACAGTGGTGCAATCACAGGTCACTGCAGCCTCAAGCCCCTGGGCTCAAACGATCTTCATGCCTCGGCCTCCCAAGCAGCTGGGACTACAGGCATGAGCCATGCTTGGCTGATTTTTTTTTTTTTTTTTGAGTTGGAGTCTCACTGTCGCCCAGACTGGAGTGCAGTGGCCGCTCCCGGCTACCGCAGTCTCAACCTACTGGGGCTCCGGCGATCCTTCCGCCTCAGCCTTCCAAGTAGCTGGAACTACAGAAATGCGCTACCATACCCGGCTAGTTTTTGATTTTGTTGTAGAGATGAGGTCTTGCCAAGTTGCCCAGGCAGGTCTTGAACCTGTGGACTCAGGGAATTCATGCACCTCAGCCTCCCAAGGCACGGGATTACAGGCTGAGCCGCCAAGCCCGGCTGGCTAATTTTTTTAACTTTTGTATTCTGTTGAGACAAAGTTCCCTATGCTGCCCAGGCTGGCCTCAAACTCCTGGTCTCAAATGATCCTCCTGCCTTAGCCTTCCAAAGTGCTAGGATTACAGGCATGAACCACTATGCCCTGCCTCAATAGTTATCTTTTAAAATTAGCCGGGCTCGGTGGCTCAGCCTGTAATTCCACGCTTTGGGAGGCTGAGGTGAGTGGATTGCCTG